AGAAAAGAAATTATATAAATCAGGGCGGAAATAAAATAGTGGGAAAACAAAAATAATGGAAAAATTAACTCAGTAAAAACTAGTTCTTCAGAAGGAACAAAAGAATCGACAAACCTCTAGTAAACCTAACAAAAGATAGGAAGGAGCAGACATCAATATCCAGAATGAGGGATTTACAACGAATCTCAATGAAATTAAAGGACGAATTGCACAGTACTACAAAGGACTCTAACGAATTCAACAACTTGGAGGACATGGACAAATACAAACCCTCCCCAGATTATCTCATAGAGATGTCAAGAACTTGAACAGACCCATAACAAAAAAAAGAAATAGATAAGCTTATCAAGGAACTACCAACTAAAAAGAGCCCCAGCTCAGATGGCTTCACAGGAAAATTCTAGCAAGCATTCAAGGAAGAACTGACACCAATCCTAACCAAGCTTCCCAGAATATGGAAAAGGATGGTAAACTCCCAAAGAAATTCTGTGAAGCTAGTGTAACACTGATACCAGAGCCAGGCGAGGTTCCCACAAGAATAGAGAACTACAGGCTGACATCTCTAAAGAACATAGATGAAAAAATACTTAACAAAATGCTGGCCAATAGAATACAAAAAATACCCCAAAAATAATCTATCATGACCAAGTGGGATTCATACCAGGGATTCAGGGTTGATTCAACATGCAAAAAGCCATCAACATTATCCATCACATTGACAAGAAAAAGGACAAGAGCCACATGATAATATCAATAGATGTAGAAAAAGCATTTGACAATATTCAACACCCATTCCTAATAAAGACATTCAAGAAGATAGGATTAGAAGGAAATTACGTCAATATAATAAAAGCTATTATTTGAAAAACCAAGAGCCAGTGTTACAATCAACAGAGAATAGATGAAAACATTCCCACGAAAATGGGTCCTGACAAGGATGCCACGTCTATTTAACATCTTCCTGGAGGTCCTAGCTAATAACACAAGACAACGGAAGGATATCAAAAGTATACTTCTGGAGAAAGAATTAAAATGATCATTATTTGCAGATGACACAATTTTATAGGGAGTAAACCATAAAGGCTCCACAATAGGAGTGCTGGAAATGACAGAAGAATGTGGGAGAGTAACAGGATACAAGGGCAACAATCAGAAGTCAAATGTATTGAAGATAAACAAGCAGCCATCTAGCTCAGAAGCAACAAAGCCCACGTGGAAGAAGCACACCAGCCTGTGTGATCATGAAGGTGTCAAAGGGATCAGGTATAAGCCATCATCAGAACAAAAAATCTTACCATAGTGAATGAGGGGGGAGTGCAGAGTGGAGACCCAAAGCCCATTTGTAGGCCACTGGAGATCCCCTTGCTTTATACAATTGATGTATGTATGGATTGTGATAAGTGTTTATGAGCCCCTAATAAAATGATTTTTAAAAAGTAATAAGCTGTTTTGACTGGAGCAGTTTTGATGAAAGGCTGATGAGAAATATCCAATGAGAGTGGGTTAAAAGTGCATGAAATTGACTTTATAATGTGAAAATATTCTATAAATATATTAAGAATTTGAGTGAAAAAAATCAGGGAAACATTTGAGGTTAACACAGTGGATAAGACTCTCAGAGTTAGACATGGGATAGAGAGGAAAGGAAGCAGAGATAACATTGATGTAGTTAATCCTATAGAGGGAATTTTTTTTTTCTGCCAGACTGTTTTTCCCCTTGGGTACCGTTTGATGAGTTGAGAACATGAGTCCAGAGGGAGGGTGGAAGGAGCTCTGTAGAAAGGGTTGGAGGAGTGTCCTGATTAAAAATATTGAGCATGGGGAGGGGAAAAAAGGAAAATGAACTGATTCCGGGAACCCAAGAGGAAAGCGAATTTTGGGAATTAAAAAAAAAAATTGAGCATGCAAGATAGGATTAAGTATTAGGGATTTTAAATAAGCTTCACATGGACAGGATCACATAAATCACCCTGGTGATTTCAAATTATTAGTTGAGCTGTACCTAAGTTGTCTAAACTATAAACTAGGAATAATAATAGCACCTATAAAGCACATTTATACATTCTTTATCCTCATAATTCTCAAAACATTTGCTCTCCACATAAGCCCCTGACATTAGTTCCTCATTCCCCCCCTCCCTTCCTGCTCCCCCTCCCTCATGAACCCTTGATAATTTATAAATTATTATTTTGTCATATC